ACTGCTTCGAATTTTTCTGACAAATTACAAAAACAAAACTAAGATTCAAACATGAAAAATTAGGAAAATGTACAAACTCTCAGATGAGCTACTGAGTTACTGTCTGTTGTTTCTGAGTTGTACAGTTTGAAAAAAAAAATCAATTTTGTATATTTGGCTGAATATGTCGATGTCTGATCTCTGCTTTCTCCCTCAGCTACACCTCAGCCCACATCGGGGTGACACTCCGACGATCTCCTTCCGTCTCAGACCACGAGCGGCACAAAATCGTAGGAATCCTGGTCGTGATCACAGTAAACTTCATCGTTGTCTTTGGACCCTATCACCTCGTTGGCGGATACAGATTTGTGTCCTTGCTACTGACTGACGAGCCGTGCGGATTCGAGAATTCCATTTTCCTCGTCTATCGCCTGTGCTACGGTCTCACCAGCCTCAACACCTTGCTGGATCCCCTCTTCTACATCTTTCTGTGCCCTGATGCTCGACTGGAGCTGCAAAGATCCCTGCCTTGTTTGGGCAGAGGGCAAAACACCCGCAAAAAACGTAACCCTCAGTACCAGATCTCAACCAGACACCAAGAGGGAGACTGAAACTAGACATAATCACCTTCTAGCAACATAACCTGGAATTGACCACACATCTGACTCTTGATATTTAGTCAATTGTGCCACCCAGTGGGAATGCATGTGTTCAGTTTTTGTGTACTGTGAGTTTCAACTCTCAATGAAGAAATTACCAAGGTTCAGAGGGTTTCCACTTCCTCATTTAAAGAATCTTCTTGCACAGTTCTTAGTTTTACTTCTCGTGATCATCTAAATACTGCTTGGATTAATATGGGACAGAAAAATGCACAGATCTCAAAGTGCAAAGACTTGAACTTTTGCCTACACAAATTCACTTCTATATAACTCAGTAGAAATATGGACATGTGTTGTTTCACATTTGTCAAAACTGCACATTCATACACATTGTGGCTTCAAGAAGAGATATACAGACAGGAAAAACAACGCCAGGAAATGGTCAGATCATCTACTTTCAATGTGCATTTGTTTTTGAAGAGTGTGACCAGTGCATGAAAACTAGCCATAATGGGAAATTCCCACTCAAACTTTTTTTTTTTACTGTTATGTTTACAACAATTAAAATGTGTTTTTACTGCCTTGTTTGTTGTCAGTTCTTTTAACAACAGAATGGGCGTGAATCACTATGGAAACATGTTTGTGGTTATATGCAAGGTACGTATCGTATGGCAAACCTGATTGTTTTTCTTTCTTTTTATTCATGTTTAGATATGCAATCTCACATTATTAAAAAGAACAGACGTTGCATGAATGAGCAATAAAACAGAGGAGCAATATACATTTTTAAAATAGCTTTTGTAAGCACTAAATTTGCCAAAGTAGCAACGGCGGACTGTATCTCAAAGATCTATTTGTGTCAGCACATGCAGCGACTGATAGCATCTACTGAGAGGCATCTTGTGCATCTGCAAACCCAAGATCAAACTCTTTACAAGAACAACAGAAAATGTCTGTTTTATTCGACTGCATATGCAGATTATATGTTGAGATAATAATAAAAAATAACAGAATGCTGTTCGATAGCACAACCACAGTAATTGTGTTGAGTATATACCGTACAACAGTGCAACGCAACTTGCTGTGCTGGAGGCCATTTTTGCAAAAAATTGACATGAGGTCAGAAGCCAGTTGTTAAGCAGTAATGGAGTTTATCATTAAAAAAAAAAAAGTAATGATAGATAACACACTTTTTATTGGCACTCCAATACCACTGACCTGATTTGACCTCCAGACTGAAAGTTGAGTATCACTGCTGTACAGTACAGGACTGATTCTGCTCATGCCCTAAAACAGTTCATGCTGCAGTTATATTAGTCAAATACACTAAGCAAACACAAAGTTGTTTGAAGTACTATAAATTCTTGAATAAAAGAAATAAAGAAAAGCATAAAAAATTAGCTGAGAGCATGACCACAAATACACCCTGGTGCTGATAAAGAGCCAGGCTACAACAAAATTGACAAGGACTGATGAGCCCTATATACTTTTAGATTACATGATGAATTTAGATCATAAACATCTCCACACTGGCACTTCCATCAGTAAGACTGGTGAATTGTATTCTGCAAGATTATGAAGTTTCCCTTCAACCCTGCCCTCACCCCAACCAGTCGAGGCAAATGGCTGCCTTCCCTGATTCTGGTTCTGTTGGAGTTTTTTTTTCTTTTTTCCTTCCCATCGTCACTGACTGCTTGCTCATATAGAATCCAAAGGCAGGTTTATATTGTTGGGTTCTTTGTTCTGTGTGAGGTCATCACCTTACTATGTGAAGTGCTATGCGATGACGTATGTTGTGAATTGGTGGGATATAAATAAAACTAAATTGAGCTGAAATGTAATCAAAATGTAATACATCTGGCAAATGTTTCAAATTAAAAAACCTACCAGGAGCAGAAGGGATTATGGCAACTGAGCTGCTGGATGGCTTGTAATTTGAGGAATGTTTGAACAAGTTTTATGAACAGCAGTTTGACATTAATTGACTCAAAAAAGGCCGCGCTACTTTTTCATATATGGATGGTAAAGTTGAAGTAAGTCAAAGCCTCCTTGCCTCCTTAGTTACTGACAGTTTCAGTGTGCTCTTGCTCCTCCATAGGCACTGGAATGGAATTCTTATGCCTCAGCACTATCTCAGAGGTGTTGATGGAGCTACGAGCAGTGCTGCGGCGTCGAGCCAGCTCTGCCAGATCCTCGGCCAGGACGCTCTCCATCACCGCACCGAGAGAATGTCTGATCTTACTGCACAGGTCAGGGCAGCTGAACACATACAGAACGGGGTTGAGGACGCTGTTGAGGAAGCCGATCGTCGCTGCAACGGGGAGGGCCTTGGCTGCGAGCGTCTGTAGACGGTCCCCGCTGGGGGCCATCACTTCTGCGATGATGAAGAAGTGGTACGGAGCCCAGCAGAGCACGAAGCTCACCACGACAGCCACCACGAGCCGAACGAATCGAAAGGGGCGTCGGCAGCCTCGGCGCGCCAAGCTGACATTCACGGCTGCGTAGCTGAGGATGATGATCAGGAGAGGGATCAGGAAGGCTAGAAAGAGCCTCATGAATGCCAAGCCCTCCTTGCGCTGCTTACATAAAGATTCTAAGTTGTACGGTTCACTAGGGAGGAATTGAGCGTAATTGTAGTAACAAAGAATGTGGCCGGTGGGCAGGGGGATGGTGTCACGGAACATGTAGAAGGGTACAGTGCAGATCACAGCCAAGACCCAAATCACCCCACATATCTTCCTCACTAGGTGGATGCTTCTGTGGTTCTGGGCCCAGACGGGTCTCAGCACCATCAAACAGCGGTCCATAGAAATGGCTGCCAGCAGGAAGCCGCTGACAAACATGTTGAGAAAGAAGACGGAGGAGTGGATGCGGCAGAAGGTGGGACCCATTGTCCAGGTGTTGCCTCGGGCCATGTAGAGGGTGAAGAAGGGCAGGGAAGCGGTGGCGAGCAGGTCGGAGGCCGCGAGGTTCAGGATCCAGATGCTGATAACAGAGCGGCGGACATAGAAGCCCACCACTCCGACAATAAGGAGGTTTTCCACGATGCCAATGGTGGAGAAGAGGCCGTGGAGGAAAATTGTAAACACGTTCAAAGAGGTCATCCCGGCTGTTTGGTTTATCACAGTTTGGTTTATTGGGTTACTGGTGATGTTCACCTTCTGGTTGGAAGGACAGAAAAGCATCTTGGAAGGAGAAGGTCTTGATGTTGCACTGAGTGATTGTAATTAAGGCTTCCGTCTGCTGAGATCTACAAGAGAGATTAGAAACAGATTAGAAACATAACGGCAGCCGGGTTCAGACATTATACGGAAAGTTTTAGCTCGAGAAGCTAATTCATGTTTTCACTTCAAGAAAGACATGTAAATGCAAAGGAGATGTTTTAAAACTCTCAATTAGTTTCCAGCTGTTGCAAAAGTTGTTCTTTTGACTACGATGTATTTTCTAACATACTGTAAACCATCAACTTTTACCTACATGGTTCTTAAATTTCCTTCATTTATTTGTTTAAAAACCAACATTGCAATGTTCTTTTAATTGTAATTACTGCCTTATTCATGGACAATAAATAATATCTTACTGTTTAATACATCAGTTTTAAGCATTCAATAACATTTAGGAGGTCAAGTTGGGGGAAAAAACACTCGAGTTATGGCAAAAATGTCTTTCCTAATAGTGCTGGGTTAATACTTGGCAGTGCTGGTGTTATTAACGATATTAGTTACACTTATTATACCATATTAGAAAGTTTTATGCAGTTGTTTTGGGGAAGAATGAACACTTTCTAAGAAATTTCTGCAGGTGAACCACGATATAAACAAGCAAAGAAGAGGCAACGTTATCAATCCAGTCACTAGAAAGCTGCAGGACAGACACGATTTAAGCTCACATTTACCACTCACTGGTAGTTTTACATACTTGATCGCTATCACGCTGCGCTGGGACATTTCAAGAAACATAGGCATCATGAAGTCTGTTTTCCTCACTGTGGCAAGTCAAATAGTCTACAAAGGTCTTTTTCAGGAGGGTCGCGCCTCTATATGCTCTTCCTGTGTGTTCCCACAGTTACTCATCAGCTTTTTTACACTCATAGCACCACAATATGTGTTTGGTTCTTATCATATGCCACCCTTAATACAAATACTTTCATAACGCTGTGTTGTGTAACAAATGGCTATTTCACCAGCAGCTATCCATCTTTGCCCCATGAAGAAAAATAAGAAGATGCATGTTTTAAACTGAAACTCCAGTTCACTTGTTAGATGTGAATCTGTTGGAAAAATCTACAAGTAGGTTTACTGTTGTGTGTTTTTTTTTTTTTTTGCTTTGCAGCCTTTGTGCCACTACTGTAGGCGCGTGCAGTCTTATCTTTTCACAAATGCCACATCCTCTCTCTCTTGTAGCCTAAACATGCGACTCATCTGATTGACCTGATAATGTCACACAACACACCCCTGTATTAAAACACCTCTACGTGTTAGGTTGTGATACACTATAAATACAATAGTAACAAACTCACACAGTTTCACTTTCAATGAATTTGAATTGTGTAGCTGTATCATTTAAATGAGGATTAGGATAAAACCATTAGAAGAAAACAAAACTCCCATGTCTATAGTAATATTAAATAGAATGTATATGTTATTGAAGCTTTTAAGAATAAATAATGAGGCTGCCATCCTACTGATTATACAAACTCTGCAAAAAGGTGAAAGAAAAATATGTTTAAACACTAAAAGAACACTGGCTACAAGAATAAGATTGCATCCACGCCCAGTGCACATTGATTTTAAAGTGAATTATTATGCCTTATTGTAGGATAATCACACTGACACAGGTGGACGGTTTCTCGCTTAACCCTTCAGGATCAACCCCAATGCAACCATGCATGATAAAATAAATCACTTACCTGGGACTTTTTTTTGTCTGACAGATCCGATGAGGTCTGTGTCATGTTATGTTGCTGCATTTCACTGTACGGAGCACTCGACAGATGGGCGTACAAGCGCAGTTATAGGAAGTCTAAAACCTCAATAGGAACCTCATTTTTCTCAGAAGATGAAGTACAGCTGGGTGTCAAAGCAGACCAATTTGAATGTCAGACTGTTGCTAAAAATGAAGTGTGTTCACATGTTTCTCAACAAATGAAGTGAAGCTTGTAAGCTATATAGAGTTTTATGCACTACGATGTCAGCGAACACAATATCTAAATGCAGAAATATATTTGTGGGTTACCATTTCATAACATTAGAATTTCCAGTTGTACTTATTTTGAGTTCTGTTAAGTTTTTTTTTGACACCACAAAATTTCTCCGATGTTCGATTAACCTGAAAACCTTAACCTGAAAGTTATGACCTTTTACCAAGCTCCTCATGACCTAAATCTAAATAATCAGTGACGGTGTTTCAGTCGAGCTTATTTATGCCGTGCCTGCAAATAGATCCATGTAAAGTGACAAACATTTACTAGAAAATGCTGTCGGTTATGATCATGTAAACCCTCGACCACCAAGTTAAAATGCTCAGTCAATATGTGGCCCCATAAATTGTTTAAAAAAAATTGGTTTCTATCGACATTGAATAAAAGAAGAATAAAAGTATATGTGGTCTGGATCTGCATAAACTGTTGGAGAGAGAACAGTGTGCTACCTCCCACATCACTGCAGTCAGCTTGATACCAGTTCCAAAAACCAAATCTACCATCTGTGGTAACCTTAATTGTCAGTAAAGCTTTGATTATACGCCCATGTGGAGGCGCACAAAGACAGCTGCAAACACCACCACTCCCACATAGCTTTGTTTGTCCGTTATGATCTACTGATTTAACCCCCTTATGTTCAACATGAGGACATGCAAGGACAGTTCTTTATGGATGGATGGATGGAAACTTCACTGGAGCCATGAGAGAGTTATTTTTTTTTTACCATTCAGTTTTCAGGACTATGCATCACCAACTTCATTCATTTCTCTAAAATCCATTGCAAAAGTTGGGTTTTTTCATTTACCATACATCAAAGCATATTTCAGACCAGAAAAAAACAACAGAAGGAGCTACACAAACACATGGAAGGTCACAGATACCCCTTTTCCACTGAGCTGGTTCCAGTGCTAGTTCGGAGCCAGAGCCTGACTTAGCACCAGTTCTTTGTGTTTCTACCACCTAAGCACCGGCTCCAGGTTCTCAAAACTTGTGCTGAGCAAGCACCAACCCCAGGCTGGGCCAGACCTAAGAACCAAGTATGTATGCAGCTGGGGGCGGGGTTATCGTGACCAACGAGACCAGTGGAAACACAGAATGGGACACACAAGCGGTAATTTGTGTAGTTTTTTTGTCAGGACCTCCCAGATCCAAGTGTTGCACAAACTGTCCGCTATCAGTTGTGTCCCACCAGCAGCACCGTTATCATAAAAAACAGAACGCACCTACATGTGCTGTTTTTTTTCCGCTCATAGAAAAGACCCTAAGAGAAAAAAACCCCACTTGGTTTCATCTTGGACAAATCTGACATTAGAACACCTTGGTTGACTCTTTTTAAAGTCATTTTTGGTCACACACCAGTCTGAGCAACGCGGCCACCAAGCAGCAGCTATCACAGCCTGCGATGTGTGGCGTTTGGGGAACATTGGTAAATTGTAGTGTCTATTGATTAGAAAATGTTCAGCAAGTCAGCAATATGTTTTGCCTGTGACAAGGTGAGAGGTGCGACCAAATGAGAAAGTTGGTCGCACCAGTGAAAAAGTTAGTCTGGAGTCCTGTGTGGTCGTCCTTGTGGTGTGAGCGTTGTTTTTTTGATAAACAGCTACGTATGCAGTGATGTGTGGTATGGGTCTAACTTGGCTCCTTGTCAATGGAAAAGCAAACAGGTTCTTAGGTGGTGCGAGATTTGAACCAATTAAGCACTGGCAGTAGCACCAGCAATGAACTAGCACCTGGTTCTTCTTGGGGGAAAGGGGGTGAGAGGTTCCCATAGTCACTAATTGACTTTCATATGCACACAAAGTTATGTGTAAATCACATGAAAGCCTCGATGATACTTTGGTGTAGACGCACACATGGACAGCTGCAGACGCATAATGTTGCTACACTTTTCTAGTCTGTAAGACTTTGCTCAGCACACTTGTGTTTCCACTTTTAAGGCCTTGTTTCGTAAGTTGCTGACATTTTTCAGTTAGAGCTTGAAGCTGCAGCTTGAGTTCGAGTAACCATGGCTTCAGATCGGAGGATATGTTAGCTTTAAAAGTTTCTGGTTCCAGCTCTAAACTGAGAGACCTGTTTTCTGGTAAAACACATAAAACATTCAAATTGGCAGATAGTGTCAATAATAACTGTCACTATTTCATTATGAGTGCATGTGTGTTTGTACGTGTGGTATTCATATTGTTGGGTCAGACACCTGGTTACACAGTCATGCTGTCTGGACCTGCTTCCTTTTTAGAGGCAAAAAACAAACCTCATGATCATTAAAAGTTAGAATGAGGTATGACTTGGTTTAAAGTTATATTCAGGTTTAGGTTAAGATTAAATTTAAGTTGCACTTAAGGTTCAGGTTAAGGTAATCTCCAGGAAATTGATTTTTCAGTTCATGTCAATTCAATTCAATTTTATTTGTATGTTTACAACATATGTCCTCTCACAGTGCTTAACATAGTAAGATGAAGACTTTACAAATTTAAAGTGAGAACCCAACAATCCAAAGTTGCCTTTGGACTTCCTCTGAGCAAGCGGTCGGCAACGGTGGGGAGTTAGTTTCAATACAATGTCCCCAGAAGTGATGGAAACATGACTGTGGGCCTATGTGTGTGTGTGTGTGTGTGTGTGTGTGTTAAAATTACTATCTTTGTGAGGCCCAGTTTAACTTTCAGACTTTGAGGACATTTTGGAAGTTAAGGCATTTTTACCCCCACTTAACTTTATTACACACCACAGGGCTGTTTAGGGGGGAAAAAATGATTATAATTAGGGTTCAGTTTGTTCCATGGTTAAGACATTTAATTGCGATTATTAAAGGGAATACATGAAGAAACGAGAACTTGATGTGGCGTTGAAGCAGAAGTTACTTAACATGAGGACAAGTGAAACCGTCACATGGTGCAACGCATAAAGACAGACACGCAATAGTCTGTACAGATACCAAGCAGTGCTGCTGGTGAGGCGGCAAATGCTTGCCAGAGTGCAAAGACAACCTTCAGGTTTACACTGACACCTGCTGGTCCATTGAGGTGTTGCTGGATTAAGTGTTCTAAAGCTGTGCAGTTTTACCCCATGTGCATAATAAATAATATAACTTTCTTTTATTCATTCTGGTGACCTGAAACTGATCATGACATTTATCGCATAGTGTTTTGTTTTTTTTCCCCCCCTGAGACAGTCTTGTTGATGTGGTGACTTGGCACTTACTTCTTCTTTTTGTCTCGCTGTTTGTATTTGACTGTGCGGCAAAAGAAAGTGCAAGCAAGGAACGATTGGGCGTGTATACGCACATGCAACATAGGCGATGACGGCAAAAAAACTGCCCCGCTTTATGGTTTTTTGCGCTCAAACCTGCAAATACTGCAAGTTGTACAACTTTATTTTTCTTGTGCAATAAAAAAAATAGGAAAGCTGCTGTTGTACTGTCTCCAAAGCTTCAGACAACCCCTTTGTTAGAATATAAAATACTGGACATATGACATCCATTGAGAAAACAAATCTGTCCACACATCACTGCTCTATATTGTGCCATTGTACACTACATGCACAATTAGACACTGAGAACACCAGACCCTGTGTTTTTTTAATGTGATAAAATATTACAAATATTTACAGCTGTTTTTGCTCATTTGGTGTATTTAGTTTTTATTAATTTCTACCTTTTCTGTTGTCTAAAATCAGGAAACATCTCAAAAATGCTTTGTATGACCAGATCTGCAATCATATTTACTCAATACTGTCAGTAAACCTCCCACTCATGACTGATCTGTTATTCAGGCAGGTATTTGTATATTGGGATCTTTCAGAACAACTTTAATTAATGTTACTGTGTCACAGAATCGTTTAGTTTGCTATTATTGGATAGTGAGTTAGCAGAATACGTGTAAAACCCAGTGTAGCTTAAGCTATGTGAAGAATTGTCTGTTTTTGTTTCAAAATGTGCACAAGGCATCAGCTTCACTTGCCGATGTGCATAAAGTATGTGTGCAATTACATACACAAATACACACGATGATCCGTGCATGTCTGTCTTTATTTGAAACCTTAAGGAGGACGAGTACTACTCTATCTGGTTTGGTAATCACACACAATTGCATGTGGTGTTCCCCAAGGCTCTGTTATAAGACCTCTTGTGTTCAGCATCAATGTGCCTCCCACCGTAGACTGCATGCAGAAAATGGATGCATCCAACGCGACATCACATGCTGGTTTGTAGACTGAAACCCTGAGTTTGCACTTTTTGATCATCTTGCTCAATGAAAGCAGACGTGATAAGTGAGTAGTGGATCTGAGATCTCGAGGACACCTCACACCCTGATGAAGTCGTGTGATTCACAAGGTAGTGACACCCCAAGACATGTCCTGCTTTATAGTCCATCATACACTAAAAGAGACCATAATTCACAAAATCAACATCCTGTCTTATCAAGTTAAGTCAAGCACATCTTAAACAACAGAAACTGGGAGAATTGATTGTTTTCTCATAGACTTCTATACAATCTGGGTTCTTTTTGCAACCACATGCATCGCCCCCTCCTGGCTGTTAGGAAGAATACACTTTTAATACACGTCCCTGCTGGCTTCACTTTTCAGCAAAGGAGGCTTTGATCTTTTATTTACAGTCTATGTCTCCTGCTAACTCACAGCAAAAATGTTATAACTGTTTTCAAATAATGCCGCGGCTATTATGCTCTTATATTACCACTAAGTGTAAAAAGTGTTTACTAAAGCCAGGATTAGGCGTTGGCATTGGCTCTGATGCACATTTTTAAAATTCACGTGAGGACAGTTTCTAAATTGGATTAGAAAAATGTTTTTATCTTGAGTAGACTGTTATGTTGCCTTTACAGATGGGTATATAAAAGAATCATGCAGCTGCACCGATTCAGTACACTAGAAACCTTACCAGGCCACAACAGGGCACAAAGTGATGCACGCAAGCTGCACTTTATACACCTGAAAGCACATCTACACCACAAAAACTGCAACCAAGTTTAACCAAAGACAGGATGTTCTATAAAAATAAATTTTGCTCAAAGGGGAACTATAATTGCTGCTGGGAAATCAAGTTATTTAGACAACCTAACAAACACACAAGTGTCACAAAAACTCTGAGAACAAAGTCCGATTTATTGCCTCATTATAAAATGTCAAATCAGGGTTTCTCACTTCCTTTCGTTCGGATATTGACACACACGAATCTGCAGCACTTGGGTCACGTAGACACGTTTTTTCCGCTGAAGGTGTAGACTTCTGCGTTCGACCCCTTTACTGAAACTGCCGTCACACTGGATCAGTCTGAACGCCGGAGAGCGAAGGATGCTCAGGTTTTATGTGCTCTTGGTTTCTTTCTCTAGAGCCTGTAAGTTCCTCTTTATTTCATGCTAGAAATGAATTCTAGGTGTCTTAAATCTGACATGTTAATCTTAAATTCCAAACTTTCTTTTTTAAAAAGCATTCTGGAGATTTAACCCAATTTTTTTGGTCATTAATTTATCTTCATCTGTGCTTCAGATGGTGCTCTGCTTTATGCCAACCTCGGAGACGATGTGACTTTACGTTGCCACTATGACCTCAAATTCAATCATCTGTACTGGTACAGGCAGGTCGCCGGGGAGCAGCCTAAGTTAATATCCTCTTTCTACAAACATTCACCGAGCTCCAACAGGTTCCACAACCAGTTTGAAGACAACCAACGGTTTTCCCTTCAAACTGGAGAGGGGTACTACCATCTGAAGATTTCTAATATCCAGGATTCAGATTCATCCATGTACTACTGCGGACATGAGAACATCACAGGCATTAAATTTGACGAAGGAATGCTTTTGGTTGTAAAAGGTAATTGTTGTAGATTTTAGACAGCTGACGTGTTTTTAAAAAAAAGCATTATCAGTAGTAATTTGTTGTAATTTTCATATAATTTCCAGAGTCTAGTCGCTGGTCCATCCTCCAGCAGCCGGAGTCTGAATCGGTTCAGCCAGGAGGCTCTGCGACTCTGAGCTGCACGGTTCTCGCTGGAGCCACTGATGGAAAACACAGCGTCTACTGGTTCAAAAAGGATTCAGGAAGCCCCCGCTTGGGAATCATGTACAGCCACGCTAACAGCAGCAGTCAGTGCTCTGACACCCCTGAATCCAGGTGTCCTGAACAGAGATGCATGTACAAATTAGCAAAGAGGAACGTGAGCCTGTCTGATGCCGGGATGTACTACTGCGCCGTGGCTTCATGCGGAGAGATACTGTTTGGGAAAGGAACGAGACTGGATGTTGGAGGTGAGCAGCATTTAAAACTGTTTTTTCCTTCATCTGCTGATTTTGCTTGTTCGCTCAGTCTGTACTGCTTTCTGTTTTCTCAGAGAGCCATCACGACACTTTCCCTGTCTTGGTGTACGGTTTGGTTCCAGCTCTGGTTGTGTCTGTTGTTCTGAACATCATCCTATTTGGTTTCGTCTGCAAAATGGCCAAGAAAAAAAATCTGCAATCTGAAGGTAAACTAACTGATCAACAACTATTTTTTTCTATTTTAGTGGTATCTAGGTATGCAGATATGTCAGCCTTTTTCCTTTCTTCTATTTTGAGGCTTTTACCACATTATGACCTCAAAATCTGATTGTTTAAAGGGTCGCAGCTGCAGCTGAGTGTTTCCGAATACACCGCCGAGAATCAGGTTAGTTAAAAAAAAACATCCTCCCAATACGAGTTACATGTTTGCATGTAGACAAATGCCATCACTTATGTCTTATTTCCTACAGAGTGAGGACTTGAACGCTATGCAGTACGTAGCTCTGGACTTCAAAAAGAAGCAAAGCACAAGCAGGCGACAGAAGATCACAGAGGAAGAGACCGTTTATTCTGGAGTTAAACTGTCAGAGCTGGAGTGACTTCGCTGTCTAGTCAAACCAAACCCTCCACCATCACTGCTACTGTCTTTCTGCAGGCTTAAATTCTATGAACATCTGTAATTACGTCAATCAGCATTTGTGTTTTAAATGCTTCTGATAGTCTTGAATCCTGTATATGCTCAATCGTAAAGGGGAATTTATGTTTTGAAGAAAAAAAACATTTGTATTTTTCAGAATTTATTATGGACTAGTTCATTCTTCCTCTTGTAAAAGGCAGTGATCTCAATATTTTGTACAAATAAGAAGAAATATATATTCATTAAATGCATAAAAATGAACTTTCCTTACGTAACATGTCGAGTTCACTGTATTTTTTTGTCTGAGTTGATCACGACATATGTATTGCAAAGTCTAAACTTTCTTCCAAACAAACAAAAAACAATCTTAAATTTAAGGGAACTCACAAGAGGCAGATTAAAGAAAGAACACAGGAATGACAGAATGATCAAAATTAGACAGTAGAGGCCAAAATATTGCAATTTTTTATCCCGTTTGGTTGGATAAACCTCTGAATACACTGGACTCCACTCTCTTAAAACGTGATTTCAATGTATGGTTGCAAGATAAACTTTTTTTGATGGGTTGGTTTTAAATAAAAATGTAATATTGTGTGTAAATTAAACTTGAATTTCTGAATCAAGTTAAGGTAATAAAACTTGCTTAATAACTACATTTTTTTTCATTTTCAGATCAGAATTCCAAGTCCCACTAAATTGCTAATTCCCCTGACTCAACTTAGTTTTTTTGGTTGAACATCATTTCATTAGAAGTTGTTACAACAGTATTTTGTGTTTGTTGAATCCTTACAGTGTACATTTCCCATACTGCATGTTATTTTAAATTTTCAGTGTCTGAAAAGCTCCAGAGTCACACAAAACCTTCACAGGATGTGCAGCTCTCTTCAAAGTGCCGCTTTGCATTCAGCATCGGGCCTTTTCTGATCAGCGTCTGTGTGCAGTTAAGCTGTCGGTCAGCAGGGAGCAGCAGTCCACCTACACCAGACATCACATAAGCGCTCCATCATGATGCTAAACTTTCAAAATGGCACTTTTGCTTAAATGATCACACAACGCTTAGATGTGGCCGTCACCACCAGATAGAAAACTTTGGAGAGATGTGTTATTTAAAGCGACGCTGACATGGACACTTGTGACGTTCGCAAAACTTTTGTTCATAAAACGTGGAAGTCCACCCACAGAATGAGGCGTTCAGATGTGCTGTTGTGGTCGCCTGACATGAAAAAGCTCCCCGCTGCCCTTTTTTCATGGCCCCGAAGCACTGCCGGCTGATGTGATTACGCAACTCTTCTTTATGGTTCTTAGGCTTCGGCCTCATGGATGCAGTTACGCAATCAAAATGCACAAAAACTTCAAGAAGATCAGGAAGAATTTCATCACTTAGCCTGCTTTTAAGCGAATATTATAATCAAGTTGAACCATTTTAATCCTCAGAAAACAAAAAAATCAAGTTAAGAGCTGTGAAACTCGATTGTTTTGTTCAACTTTGGAGGTGCTTTCAGATGCTGCAGCTGGTGGACGATTAAAAAAAAAAAAGAAAAAGAAAAAAAACATGTCTCGTCTCTCATTTCCCGCTCTGGTCAAGCTAGCTAACATCGAGTTCAGCCCCCACCACACACACACCACCCAGCCCTACCGTCGCTCCGTCCTGACAGGATGTCGCTGTGGTTGCTTTTTTTTTTTATGTTGTTTGTTTGTTCTAGTTGCTTCACAGTAACGCCTCTGCTCTTTCACTTCTCATCGCCACATGCACTTTTGAAAGCCAATGCACAAAGAAACACTTTTACTCTCATATAAAGAGCAAAGGATGGGCTACTTAAAAAGCTTTTGCATCACTGATACAGCGGACTTGATGCTGCAGAATATAGAGGAAAGAGGAGGAGCTTTGTGACATGATGGGGGCCTGGCTTATCTTCTCACTGTGTGTTGCCTTCATGCTTCTAAAAGAAACACATCTGAGTTGTAAGAAACACAATGTTTGCAATGAGAGCTCTGTGTTTAACTCTGTTAAAGTACAGAGGAAGCTTATTTGCCCCCAACTGACCTGAATTCAAGTCTCTATATCTAAAGCACAGCATAGAAAAAGCCCAGTTTTACCACAAGATGCGCCTGCTGCTGCTCAAAGCGGTTCTCTGGTAGCCATCAAAGCGTCTCTGACCTATTTTCAACACTTGTTAGATGCAAAAAATGACTACAGGAAACAAATGAAGACTCGCTGATACTCCTGGTGCAAAACTAATATCAAGATTCTCTGTCATCTGTGTATAAAGAATGAAAATCATGAATTTGGGATTAGATTATAAAGATATTTACAGATGTTAAGAACTACAGCAGCTCTTTCCAGCTTAACTGAAACTCACCAGGAAGTGCAAAAGCCTAAACTCTGATTGTTTTAAAGGCTATAAAGTAAGTTTTGTGTGTCATCTAAAGTGCATAACGACTTTCTACCACAGATAAGAGTAAATTCTTTACAAGGCTCCCCAGTGTAGGCTTTTTATGAAGGAAATTTACAGAGTAAGTGTGAAAAATTACAGTCACACTATATCAAAAAACATTGATTATAGCAACAGCCTTCAACGTATTCATCACTTCATGCTGTTTGAACGAGGATAACGTACATTTATGTAATTGTTAGAGTCCAGTTACTGTACTGGTGTGTTGGATTCAGTGGCATCTGGAGGTGAGGTTGCAGATTGTAAGTCAACACTTACGGGTCAACTTTACAAAAACAGTGAAAATATCTGTCAATGCAATATGATACTTTGCTATTTTTATTTCTAAATATCCTGCATTTGCTAATTAAACTGTCATTTTCACAGAGTCTGCTTCAGCCAACAGCTTTTTTTTTGCCACATGTTCAACATACCGAAAAACTATTTATCTCAATAGTTGTTGTTTACTTTCATCCTCCAGATAAGTGTAATTTACAGTACGTTTTTAATACACAGCACGCTTCCTCTTCTCACTGCTTGCCTTATTTACAACAAAAGCGGCTAGATTAATTTTCCATTTGAGCTTTGACCTGTCTGAGAAACAGCGACCGCCCTACTCTCACTATGCACAACTCAGGAAGCACGGGTCGAAGTGAGAAGACTGTTGGTCAGTGAAGCTTCGTCTCCACTGAGTCAACAACCGTCATAGTTCTACCGCAACTTTTTTTTTTTTTTTTTCCAAGCCTGTAAAGCCTTCAGACCACGAAGATCAAAAGGTGTACATGAGTCACAAACAGTCATCTGCTTCTGCTTGGTGAAGCTCCACTGCAGCTAAAGGTGCAAAGAGTAAAGAGGCAGGGGGGTTGTTAGATTAAAATGCTACATTTAATTAAAGAATGAAATTGTCTGACAAACTTTCTTTATTTTACCAACAGAAACACAAGCTTAAACACTATCTACACAAACCATTTATGCCACATTTGGACACCATGAGTCCTTTCTGCAAAGCAAACCTTCACTATGTTCTTATAGTTGCACAACATTTACGCACACAAGATTTGGAGATACACACAAAAGCTGATTTGATTCTGCACACTGATGAGGTGAAACCAACAACAGTACGCACAAAGTCAGTCTAAAACACTATGGTGGGCTTAGGGTAAGGGTTACAAAGGTTATATGGTCACATGGTTATGCTACCAGCAGGGATGGCGCTTCCTTTTCATTTTTATGCAGATGATATACTGCTGTTGTTATTTCCTGTTGTTGGTTGTTGTTGCCACTAGCCCCAATTGGCTACATCCCCCCTAGTCATACCCCTCTGTGAGAACCCTTCATGTGTTGATTGAGTCCAACCTCAGCTCCATCCTGCTTCTGCATTAGGTGGAGGACCAATGCTAATACTAGACTTTCTGTCGACCACAAGCATGCATGGTTCAACAAGTGTCCAAGTGATGTCATGTTCGCAATCTCTCCAAGTCTGTGACACAGTGTCTTGGCTGCATGTAGAGGCGACAGTCCAAGACAATCCTCACAATGACAACGCTACATTTGTAGAATACATAATATAACCTACTGAGCATGTATGGAATGGACAGTGGACACTAAACGAAACAGGAAGTCGTATAATAACAACACTAGTGCATCCATGGTGTCTACAGCTGTCAGTGTGCACATCCATTAGGGCGCACAATCAAGGCTGAGTGGGGCTTTTTTTACAATAATGGCGACACTACTCTGGCATGACCTCGCAGCAAGCCACAGTGGTTTGGTTCTATAATGGCCCAAATCCAGGAGGCTAGGAACACTACTTTGGCCCAGGTATAGGTATGAATGATGTACCAGAAGCTATTTACGCTAAGTTTAGGGTCACCACACATGAACCTTAATCATCCTGAATGTGGCTGAATGTGTCAACTTCCAGCCAAAAAAAAAAAAAGAAGAAGAAGTGGTCTCAATTGGCCTGATTCCTATAATCTCACAGTCTTTCAAGCTACAGTATGCAGAAATCTGAAGAAGCTGCACTGGGAGGTCAGTGTGGATGTTTTTTTTTACCCTATAATGCCAAAAATGAGTCATAAAGAACAGTGTTGAGTTACATCAGAACACATTTTCTGGTGAGCTGTTAGCTGTTCGCACGTGACTGCTGTGGCTTCAGACTAGAACAGCACAGTAGCAGTCAGGAATCAACAGAGCTCAGTGAACCAGTGGCATGTAATTACCCCTTGTGGCAGCAGAGGCCACTGTTCAGCATAAGTTATATTTTAAAGCTTCTCAGCTTTCTTCCCTTTGCCAGCCAAAAGCAGAGGCTTTTTAACTTGGCACTGAGGACACGTGAAGGAAGACATTAGAGGGCAGTAATGCAGCAGTAAACTGGATGCAGTCTGGTATTAATACCCCAAAAGAGGTTAAAAAAAACAATGTCTCTGTAGCATTATTTTCACATGTGGTTTCCTCTCAGTGTAAGATTTGATGATGTTGTAGGTGGGGTGGTCCCATTAAGCAGTAATGTCACATCCATCTTCAGTTTCATCACTGGCACGAAAGAACTTAGAAAGCTACACTAAAAAAAACACCAACCACGCATATAGTTAACCTTACTTTTAAAGAAGCTGGTTTAAATCTCCTGACCTGATTTCTGTTTTTACAGTCTGCATGTTCCTACCACACACCTGCTTTTAACCTACTTAAACACAGACCTTTACATGTACAACAGTACAAGAAACAGAATGACTGTAAAGACTGGAAAAAATACAGATTGTACAAGTATATTTTTAAAAACACCCTCTTAACACCCTGCTTGTGGTGGAGAACAAACACTGACATGCACCAGCTTCTATGCCTCCATTCAAAAGCGGACTTGAGGAAATTTAATTCTCATGGTGTGCATGTTGTCACTTCTTTCGTAGTGTCCTCACATGAATGATATAACCAAAAGGACCCAACCCCAATTACACCCCTAGTCACCTGACCAGGCTGATCGTGAGTCTGACTTTGAGCCGAACCATTCAGCTTAGCCAATCAGAGCCTCCGTCTCCTATAAGAGTTGGTGTGTCCATCAACACGCAGTAGACAGACTGCAGAGCTTCAGAGATGATTCCATTTTGCATTTTTCTCGCGCTTCTCTATAAAATCTGTAAGTATTTGACACATTTTTTTCACTTTTTGTGTGAGCGTGGATATACATTGAAGGGAGAATGATGATCATTTTTGGCATTTCTGCACAGGTTTGGTGCTGGCTGATAGCGAGACCACAAATGTAGTTCAGGAGAGCGGGGTCAGGACAGCTAAAGTTGGGGAGAACGTGACTTTGAGTTGCTTCTGTAAAAGTGAGGCTGTAACTTTCCTTTCTTGGTACCAGCAGAGACTGGGTGGAAACCCTCACATTATTTCATCTCAGATGAAGCGTAGCCCAGATGCAGACATCGACCCTGCATATAAAAACAGATTTACAGTCTTTGCACAAAGTGATAAATGCACCAATGATCTCACAATCACAGACCTTCGTCTGTCTGACTCAGCGACATATTACTGTGGGGTTTTAGTATTCAACGCCATTGAATTTGGAGAAGGAATTTTCCTTCATGTTGAAACATCTCCGCCCAACAACCTATCTACTGCACATCAGCCAGAACTGCAGCTGCTTCGAGTGGGAGACTCTGTGAATTTGAGCTGCACAGCGTATACTAAACCATGTGCAGGAAATCAGAACTTTTACTGGTTCAGACATCATGCGTCCCAACCTGCAATCATGTATCCGAGCAAGGGCCAGTGTACAAGCCTCTCAAATGAAAAGCCTCCCAGGAAAAGCTGCACCCTGACCCTTGCAATAAATTCTGTGAACGTCTCTGATGCTGGAATATACTACTGTGCTCTCGCCTCTTGTGGGGAGATCGTTGTCGGAAACGGAACAAGGGTTGAGATTGTAGGTAGGTGATCATTTCAGAAATTGATGCTGTGTTCATTCACTTAATCATATTGATTGATATCTGTCATATAAATCTGTATAAAGAGGCATTTTCTCATGCATCTCTGCAAAAGCGCCCCCTCTCCTGGTGTATTGCTTGACTGTGGCACTGGCAGTGTCCATCGTTGTGCTCGTTAGCTTGGCGGTCATCACATACAAGATGAAGAAAAAGACGTGCTCTGTCTGCAATGGTAAGGCTTCCAAATCACTATAATCTTGCTGTATTAAAGTAGGGCTGCAAGGTGGCACAGTTTGGTTGTTGCCTCGCATCAAGAAGGTCGCCGGTTCGGTGGGGGCACCAGGATCTTTGGAGTTTGCATGTTCTCCCCGTGCAGCGTGGGTTCTCTCCGGGTTCTCCGGCTTCCTCCCACACAGTCCAAAAACATGTTGAGGCTAATTGGTGATTCTAAATTGTCCGTAGGTGTGAATGTGAGTGTGCTTGGTTGTCTGTCTCTAAGTGTGGCCCTGTGATAGGCTGATGACCTGTCCAGGGTGTCCCCTGCCTTCACCCCAAGTCGGCTGGGATAGACTCCAGCCCCCCGCGACCCCAGTGAGGATTAAGCGGTGTATAGATAGCGGATGGATGTATTAAATTAACTGATGTGCTCATTCATATATTGTGGGTTGCAGGAACTGTTTCCCATCTGGCAGCCTCTTCAGCCTCTGACATTGTGGTAGGTGAAATAACAATAAAAGAAGAACCAAATTAATAAAGCAGCTATTATATTTCCTCACTTATGTTCGCAGTTACGTTTTTCACACGACTCCCCCTTTGTCCATTTGTCACTACCAGAGTCAAGATGAAAACAGCCTCCACTACGCTGCTCTGAGTCTGAAGAGGAACAGTGAACGACAACGTGGAGGCGTGGAGGACAGCGAGGAGAGTGCTTGTGTATATTCCAGAGTGAAGAGTAGAAAAGTGTGAACCGTTATGCCTAAAACAAAGATGAAAGAAATGATTGATTTGCATGCCTGAATGTACAATGTAAAATAATGCTGAAGGAAAATAAAATGTGTCGTGTCTGCAGCGTTTCTGTGGCAATAATTTCTTAGAGTGCACCATAGTCACAGTCCACCATCTCCATAGATACAGTGTAATATTTAATACGCATATAGACAAAGCAGACTCATGAAAATCCCCTATGAGCTATTAATACATTCACAGGTTGCACCTTTCAGTCTAGCGTCAGCTCTGACTGCTAACCTTTCGCTCCTGTGGTCAAGGTGGCGGTGTGCAGTGTAGTGCATAAGTTTCCATTGGTGGAAACATAAGTCCCAGCAGAGCTTTAAAACAGGAAGATGGGCCCGTAGCCTCCAGGCCACAACATCTTCCACCAAAGCAAGCTCAGTCTTGCAGAACGTGCAACACAGTAAGACTAACTAAAATCAGACAGCAGGGACTTACGGTGGAGATAGAGAGTGCAGAAGAATGCAGAAGAACAGTCGACAGTAATTTATTTTAGAGGATGAATCTGCTTGCGGGTTTGATTTCAGTCTGTTTAACACTTTCAGTTCCCCAAAATGCATCCGCCCCAACTCAACTTAAAGTTTTACTTCCGAGGAAAATCATCATAACAGCATGTTGAGTTTTCAGTTTGTGCTCGATGATACGATGCATTCCACAGAACTTTGCACTCACACTGATATAAGTTGAGTTGAAACCTACACTGAACATCAACAGGTGTAAAAACAGACTTTCAGTGACTACTTTATAGTACTTTAGAAGCTATACCAAAGGGGCGGGTGATATGCATGAGTGTAAGTTTTGTTTGTATATTGGAGAAGATACGTTTTAATATATTAAATGAAAGATGTGCTGTGACTGCAAGCATAAGTAGAAAAATGTGAAACTATCAATGAATTTTACACATGCTACTACTGGCGGGTCAGTGCTAACTTAGGCTACGTTCAGACTGCAGGACTCATTGCTCAATTCGGATTTTTTTGTGAAACCCGATTTTTTTTGCGAGTTCATTCACATTTCCAATTAAATGCAACTTGTATGTGATCTTCTGCGTGAACTTCATGCAACCCAACAGTGTCCCGCATGCGCAGAAGACGACATGATGACGTCACACGCAACGAGCATGCTCAGTATTTGCAGAAGCAAACACAAATAGTGACAGTGGAGCATATCTTGCGATTTAAAAGTTTTTCTAAAAACTTCAAAATCGCCCGCCACTCGTTCCCTGCCACCGCCACCACCACCGATGCCGATGGTGGAAACAGAATTGTGACCGCTATCCTAAACTGGCATCAGCAGCCAAGTACTGCCTGTGCGTTCCGGCCACTTCCACCCTGTCAGAGTGCACCCCTGGGGTGGAAGTGGCCGGAACGCCCCCCCGACCATATATTCGAAAATTCATTATTAATTGGGCCTGATCATCCGGAGGCCAGAAAGTGCTATTCGGAGCAGCCCTACTTTGTCGTGTATCAATGACATGTAAGTCGGATAAATGCGCTGTTCAGACAGGTGTCGCATGGCAAAAGATCAGATACCTATCGGATTCAGGACCACATATCCAAGTGGCCAGGTCGCATTTGAAAAAAACGGGTCTGTGCTGTTCAGACTGTCATGAAAAGATCAGATACAGGTCGCATAGGGGCAAAAAAAAATCAGATTTGGGTCACTTTAGCTTGTTGTCTGAATGTAGCCTTATTAACAGTCACCTGGTAGTGTCATGGATCGGGTTCAGAGACTCAAGTGCGGACAAAGACAAACCAATAGTATAAAAGAATATTTACACAATGATAAATTTTACTGGACATGGAAACTGAGGTCGGAGAGGAATGGCGGGCCAGAGGTCCCTTGGGCGACAACTACAGGTCAGGCAGGGTATTAAACAATTACAAATAAAAAATTAGACGTTACAAATCTAAACAAGAACAGATAAGTAATTTTATTGAGGCAGGGCAAAACACTAACCAGGACTTGATATAATCAAGCTAGGGAAGGGGATACAAGATATACAACAAATGACGAAGCTAAACAGAGTAATACAAA